ATTGGATTGTTTGACTAATCACCTATATATAATTAACTTGTGACATGTTGCTAGTTAATTAGATTGATAATTCCATATTTACACCTAATCACCTCCCCTCTAGGTGTAGTTGAATCGAATCTTGCGTTTTTCAGTAATTGTTTGGGAATTTTAGAAACATGCAATACATTATTAAGGTAAAGAGTTTTAGAATTTGAGGAAATTGTAATAGAGCCAGCATGATGAATATTCAAACCTTGACCATCAGCAACTTGAAGTTGATTACCATCTCGATAATCAGCATTGATGTTGAGATTGGAAATGTCAGGAAGAACATGATGCATTGCCCCGGTATCCGGGAACCATGGGAGAGTCGAGTCATGGTGTCAAATTGAGCCGAATATGGTGCTCCATTGTAATAAGGAAGATTGGCTTGATTTGAGCATCATAGCTACACGAGAAAAAGCGATGCTGCTCACTTTGCCGAAAAAGGGGGCCGAAATTGAGGACCAGCAGGACGTAAATAATTCTGATATTGATTATAGTTGCCTGATCTTGGAGTGTATTGATTTCTACATCTATCAACAGCATGGTTACGAAGATCGCACATCTGGCAAGGCCCCTTATTCTGATAATTGAGTCGGTTATTGAAGTTACCATTCCTGTTGGATGCATGGACAATGTTAGGGCTCGGTGAGGGTAAGGGTGGTGTCTTGTTGACAAGATTGACTACTGGGTTTTCAGGATTACTTTTTAACAAAAGTTCATGAGCAACTAGCTGGCCATGGAGTTCGTGGAAATTAAGGAACAGGTTCCGGCCTAATATTTAAGGCTGTGATAATAGGGTGTATGATTGCATTCAACTCAGCTGTATATGATTGCATTCAACTCAGCTGTGGATAATGATCTTCTGGCCACACCTAATTCATCGGCAAGCGCTTTAGCTTTTTTGTAAATACTGTGAAACAGAGACATCATTTCTCTTTCAACTCTTGGAGGTCTATATGTAGCTGAAGTTGTCTATTTTGAGAAATAGACCCAAAAGCATTCCCTAGAGCATTCCAAACTTGAGCCGAAGAAGTCAGGCCTACAACATAAGAGAACACTCCTTCGGATAGAGATGAAAGAAGCCAAGACATTAACATTTGATCCTTCTTAAACCAGTCATGATACGCTGGATTTGGAATATATATGGGTAGATTGGTCTCAGTTAAGATCTCATTTGGTGGAGGTTGAGTAGAACCATCAACAAAATGCATCAGATTTTGATAGTTGAGAAGAGGAATAAATTGAGTTTTCCAAGCAAGGTAATTGGAGAAATTGAGTTTAATAGCAAAAGTATGAGCATCACCAATGGAGGTAAAAGTGGATGTAGCAGAAGTAGAATTTTGAGAGATTAAGGAAGAGGATGATGATAAACTTGAGGAGAAAGAGGAAGAAGAGTTTGTTTGAGTAGCCATAACGAGCTCTGATACTATGTGAATAATAAGAGTTTGTATATTTATTCTAATGTTGTTTACAACAGTATTTATAGAAAACTTGATACAACAATATGATAACTACCGAAGAAACTAACTCTAGGTAAGAATAAAACAATTATCTCCAAAGAGATTTGAGGAGATAAAGATAAAATAGTAATTATCTTTATCTCCTAACAATGATCATCGACAAAGATTTATCAAAAATATTAATTTGTATATAGTCATTCTTCGTGATGGAATTCTTTTATAACGTCGATCTGTATTAAATAATCTTCTTCAGAGCAATGAAACAATTTTCTTTCAAGATAATGTAACGCATGAATTTGCGCCACTGGCGGACCCAGGGGGGTCCTGGGGGGCATGTGCCCTTCCAACTTTTGAGATTTTTTTTTAAAAGTCATGTTTAGTATCTATTGAAATCTAAATTTTAATCTAAATCAAAGTTAACAATTAATTTTAATAACATATTTCGTGAAATCCATAACTATTTTAACTTTTATTAAAATTTACTAAAAATTTGATTTTAATCTCCATCAAATAGGGGCAAAATCACAATAAAATTGAATTTCGATAACATATTAATTTTAAAAATTCTCAGACGATCGTACGCTAATCGAATTTACAAATTACTTACGTCATCTCAAAACTTATTTCGAGAACTACATTATGAGCATATCGAATAGCCTAAACAGATATCGAAAATAGTTAAAAATACGTTAAACGTAAGTCTTAAAAAAATACGTCTAACTCGCATTTTTTTAATTTCAAAAATTCAATTATTTCATTAATATTTATTATTTTTGCGATACAAATTTCTCAATATAATTATCATCATTTTATTAGGAAATTATATGGAATATAACATCAAAATTTTCGAAATTTTACATTCGAAAAAGTTATATTCCATGTAAATNAATTTTATATGGAATATGATATCAAAAAATTTCAAAATTTTACATCCGAAAAAGTCATATCCCATGTAAATTTTGGGATGCAAAATTATATGGGGTATGATTTTTTTGGACGTAAATTTTCGATTGTAAAATTTCTCACAACTTTTTTTCAAGTTCGATTGTATTCCCTAACTTTAGAACTCTGCGTCTGCCCCTGATTTGCGCTTATCCAGGAACAAAAAAAAAAAAAACACTATTTTTCTGAAAACATTAATTATAAGCTCATTCTTCTATTAATTTTCAACCACACATTTTTTAATAAAATAAAATTTTTTGTAACATCAATAATTTTTCTTTCTTTTTCAACCCGACATTTTCTATCAATCTACTATTCCAAAATACATTATTTCAAAATAATGTGACTCAAACATACCCTAAATTGAAAAGTCTATTTTTCTTCTATTTTGTACAGAAAAAGAAGAGTTTTTTCTTTTTTTTTTTTTTTAAACTCAATTGGCTAGAAGATCGTGCTTTTTTTCTTTTGATTACTTAATTGGCTAGAGATTTGTGTTAATAACATGTTATAAACTAGAGTGAAGAAGAGACAAAAGCAAGGGGAGTCGAAACTTTTACATGTTTTTATTATAATGATGAACCTATATATATAGAGTTCCAATTAGAGTTACAAATTGATCAAAATACAAATTTCTATTGTTTAAATTAGAGTTATAAATTGATCAAAACTTTTATGATAAATAAGACTTTTTTAAATATTAGATAAGACTAAATAGTCAACAACAAGTGTATTATGATTTTATAAAAAGGTGAACTTACTACTTAAATGCTTTCATCGGCATAATTGGCTATCAAGCGTTTATTGTGACCACAATAATTGATACACCAAAGGTGCGCCCTTCCTCGCCCACTCGTACTAAGGAAAGGTCTTTCAATACTCTAACGCCTACGTCGAATATGGAACGAACTGCCTCAGGTGCATACCTACTATTGTATTTGTGCACAATCTAATATTTTTTACATATAAACCTCACTTGTATCTTTGCCAAAAAAAAAAGGAGAGAAAAAAAAAAACTCTAATTTTCATATTTTATCCAGCTTTTTCTTCATATATTTGTGCTATACATGCGCTTGTGAGCTGTATCTATGATTCTGTGCTACATTTAATTCCAGTTCCAATGTTAGGGTTTTTCTTTGGATAACTATTTTTTCCCGTAAATCTTTGTGAGTTTGAATGAACGGCAGACCAACAGCTTCGTGGCAAAGGAGTTGAAACGTATGTGTTTGTGAGAAATTTTGATGGCTTTGTTTGATTTATATTTCTGCTGATGCTAGTGGTTTAAAGACCATGACTGCGAATCGATTCGATCGGCTTTGATCTAGTCAAATCTCATATCATTTGATAATTAGTGAAATTGAAGTTAATAAAACTAATTAATGCTACTGGGTTTCGCTTCAAATGAAACGTGGGTAAAATTAACAAAACTTAAGATGCATTGTACTGCATTTATTTTGTGTCTCATCTCTGTGTGTGCTTGCCTGTATTCCATTCCCGCATTTGTTTGTGGAGAGGGGCAAATATGTACTGGGAATCTATCTTTTGGGTTTATTCTCATTATTTACCTGGTTGTTGGCTTGTTGCAATGGTTTTTGTTTGGGTGTAGAGTTATAGATAAAGTTGATCGGGAAATAATACTAATTATCGATGTATTTCCTTGTCAGGCTAGCAGCGATTGTTGATTTTTTGATATAAGGCTCTGTGTAGTTGGTCGAGTTACTGCTGGGTGTGGATTATATATTTGTCATTCTTGTACTTTTTTGCGGATAAAGGATGACTAGACAACAAGGTGGCAAGGAGAAGAAAGATGAGAAATCTTCTTTGCACAAAAGTGTTGAGGTTGTGCAAAGAAAATCAGTTTTTGGAAAATATTCCGAAGCAGAAATGTTAGCTCTGCTGAAAGGGCTTGCTATGGATCCTTGTCAGCCGCAATTTTCACTGGAGAAAACACAACCACTGCGGAATGAGATTCTTAGGCTCCGAAAAGTTATGGTTCTCAATGAAACTGAAATTCCTCCTTGGGTAAGGTCATAAGCATTCTCCTACTTTTGTTGCATAATTTGTGATTGATATAATCTAAGCTTGTTATAACTGGTATCTGACCTTCTTTGCTAGGATTTAATACAAGACATACGCCAATGTTGTTGCTTCCCATTTCCCTCCCAAACTCTCATTTCCCTTGATTCTGAACCTTGCCTACTGTACAATTACAGAGAAAAGGATTTTGGCCTGCCAATTATTGGCCAAAATTAGTTTAAACTTCAATCATGTAGAAGCAAAGTTCAATTGGACCAGGTTTTCGAAAAGAGAAACTTAGTTCATGTTTGGTCTATACTACTTATCAAGAATGAAGAGTTGGTGAAGTGAATTATGTTGTAATGCCCCAAAAATATCATATTCACCAAGCAAAAATGTTGCTACATTGATTTTAGATTCCAAACAAGTAGATCAAAACCATTTTCTTATTAAAAGCTATTCATTCAAAAAACTAGCAAAAATTATTAATTGCCAAATTAAAATTTTTTGTACTACATTCGTTGTAGATATCATACACGCTATTTAATACCGAAATAAACTCAAAGACGTGTATTGCACGTGCCTCCACTAGTTTCTTAAAAAAAACCTCATTTCTTGGTGTCAAATAGGATATGTGGTAAAAAAAAAAAGGAAGATGTATTTTCCTAGATCTAATCTCCTGGTCCTTGCCGAAAGGAAAAAGAATTTCATGTTCTTCGTTTCGAGAAGGGATGATAAGAGAAATCCTCTTGATTGCAGCTTTCCTCAGATCTCAAAAAAAAAAGAAGCATGAAAAAAAATTGCTCGAATGATATGATCCCTCCGTCACTCCAAAATTGTCGACCATTGTACACACCACCATAATAATAATAATATTAATAAATAATTGGATTGATTAGCTTATTTTTAGATCGAACTTGAACGAACAAAATGTTGAATTGAATTATCCTTTGTGTCGCCAAAAAAAGTAAACTTGTAATAAAATACATTTATTACTACATCGTATGACAATCATTTGTAATGAAAATAAATAATATTACTCAATTCACATCTCAATACTTGTATTCACATCTCAATACTTGTATTCGGATATTTATCATTCTTGGTTATTTTAGAGTAAATTATTTATGAATAGCCATTTTAGAAGAAAAGAATAATTCTAAAGCTTGTTTAATGGGGGCCTCACCCAGTTAGACTAGACATCCTTTAATTTTTTTTCCTGTTTATTCAAGTGAAAATTGCCCATACCTACATTTCAATTTTCAACTTTAAAAATCAAATTATAACTATTCTTTTCAAAAATCAGGTTATAATTATTTTTAATTTAAAAACATATATAACAACCCTCAACTAACAATCATGCCCCCTCGAATCCCAATCCCTAAGAACTCCCCCAATTCATACCCACCCACCCTCCCCCCCTCTCTCTCTCTCTCTCACACGCGCACAGTGCTCCTTATCTTTTTTCGTGTCTCTGGCGTTGATCAGCCCTTCTCATCCCCTAGTGATGAGAGCAGCGTTACGCGCAATGTTATACAGTTGATTTTCAAACTTATTTTCAATCAACAGCACGTGCTTGTCGAAGTTTTTAGGGTGGTTTTGTTGGTGATTTATAAATGGTGATGATATTTGTATTTGTTGGTGTTCCAGGTGGTTGTGCTAATGGTGATGGGGATGTGGTGGGGTGCTAGCGACGATGGTATAGGTGGTCGTGGTGTTGGAGGTAGTCACAAATGGTGGTGGAGGCGGCATGGCGTTCGGTTGGTGTCGATAGTGGGTTGGGCTGGGCTGGAGAGTGTTAGGTGATCAATTATTTGTGTAATTGTAACCAATAAATAAAATGTGATCAATAAAATAGATAATTTGTAGCTAATAAATTATACGTGACCTAAAAAATGTGAAATTGCGATTAAATTTGTAATTGTGGCTCACAATTTGTTAATTTGTAACTAATTAATTTGATAATTTATGATCCAAAAATAACTTTTGATAAATTAATTTGATAATTTGTGAAATAAAATTTGTGATCGAGAAATAACGTGTGACATATAATTTGATAATTTATAACTAATAAATAAGTTGTGACATATAAATTGTGATTTGTGACTAGATGTTCTGTGATTGTAACTAATATGTAAAAAATGAGTTTAGAATTTGACATGTCTTTTTCTCCACATTGGTTCAAACGTGACCAGTACTATGTGACTAACAAGATATAAAATATAACATTTATCACTTTCCCATTGACTAAGTTGTGAAACTGTCACATGACTATAGATGCAGACTAAATTAGGTGGATTAACGTAGTTTGAAACAATTTGTAAGGTGCGTGACCCGAAAAGTGAAATGGGGAAGAAATTCTCCGTTAACTCAACACAAAAAAATAAATGAATAAATAAAAATAAAAATTCTTGTTAAAAACCAGGGTATCATTGTCTTAACCCAAATTTTCTCTTGGTGTTTGGAAGGGATTAAAATTAGATTTTTAGTATATTTTGATAGAAGTTTTTTAAATGTGTGGTTAAAAAGTTGTGGGACTCATGAAAGATGTGATTAATAATGATTGTTTGACTTCGACTTGAATTAAAATCTGATTTTAATTTGTACCAAACAAGCCCAAATCATGCAGCAGATATAACAATGGGAAAAGTTTATGGCTTAGGTATTTAGTTTCACATTTGAAAAAATCAGGTGCTAAACTTTAAAATTGTAAAAATCANATTTGATAGCAAGAGCCAAAAACTTTCAGCCTATGTAATTGCAATGCTCTTATTAGAATCCCAAATTACTTGGGAAAATATAAACGATCCACTTAATAAGGTGAGGGCAATCTCCCCTAATAAGCCGGTTTTATTAGGTGGAGTTAGGCCCAATATTCCTAACACAAACAAGTAGATCAAAACCATTTTATTATTAAAAGCTATTCATTCAAAAAACTAGCAAAAATTATGTTCTTGCAGCTGGCTAGTCCAAAAACTCGGCACCTGCACTATTTTGTCATTATGTTTCTCTGCACCTTTCTACCCGCACCTAATATTTTTTTTTTCTTTCTTCGCTACGATTCCTTTGAGTCTTGAGCTGCCTTAATGATACATTTGGTGTTACACATTTAGCATTTGAGCAAAATCACGTGAAAGTTAAAAAAAAATTAAAATAAAAAAATTGTATGTACTTGTTTTGATTGCACTTTGCTAGTGCTACAATTATCTGTCCGGTGTCAGAAATAGAAAGTTTTAGTTTAATATGAATAAATTTATCTTAAAAAAAGATTTAAGATTAAGGTCTCAATTGTGTATATTGAAACGATATAATTTGTATTGTCATTTTCTGGAGGCCTATGTTGAAGTTGTTCAATATTGGTTAAATGTTACTTTAGAAAACTAGTATAATAGACTAAGCTCGAAATGGTATAGCGAGAATTTGTCTCAAGCATAAGTTTAAGTATCATATATCGAGCCAAGTAGTACTAGAGTTCTATTGGGAAAAAAATGGGCTCGTCATTGAGATGGTCAATAACTGTTCTTGAAAATTGGGTTTCAGCTACATGAATCCTTTATTGTCACCCTTTTATGTTCCTCATTACATCTAGGAGAAGATCTCTAGCAACAATATCCTTAGAACTTATATGTCATGTTAGTTAGAGTTTACGTCTTTCTTTTCTAATATGTTCTATGAAGATCGTATCTGACTTAGGAGCGTAATAATTTGATAACGAACAATTGAAAAACTAGAAAAGAAAGGGAGGTCTAAGAAGAAAAGAAGAAATTAGGGCAAAGAGAAAATCAATTTATTCATATATTCAAGGGTACCTATTAGCTATTACAATGAATAAGTCCTCTATATACAGGGCAAATAATCTAAAATCAATACGACTTCTAATAAATTAGAACTGTATCAAAACATTAAAACTAACGTAATCTAATTTAGGCAAACATAATTTGAATCAAACTCTAATTTAAAATAATATCTAAATCCTATCTTTATTCTATCTCTATGAGTATCACTCTCATGAATAATTGTCTTTTTTAGTTCTAAACTAAACATGCCGGAACCACTTAAAGCATTCTCATAACTTATCTTCAATCGTGTCACTTCCACTTGTAGGCATATATTTTCATTTTCATTTTAGCCATTCTTGTATGGCCACAATTTATCCTTATGCGTAGCATGTCTAATAACTGTTATATAAAACTAGCATTTTATCCTTATTTTGATCATCTGGAGATGTGCGCATGTTAATTAGATGTGGACCCATTCTTTTCCTGTGCGAGTCGTTGAAGACAAAATCATTAATTAGTAATGTGAAAGATGGTGCAGATTTTGTTCAAAGAGAGTGCATGAGTCTTATTGTAAAGCTGAAGAAATTAGGATTCATCTAGAAGTACGTGACTAGTTTTTTGTTGTTTGTTAACGTACTACAACATCCTCCTCTTTCATTCGGATTTGGGACTAATCTATGAAGATCTATAAGCAACGTCAGGTGGTTGGGGCATGTTCTTATATATATAAAAATGTTGTTATTCACAAAAGTGGTTTGAAACGTAGTCAAAAATTTTCTTGCAATGCATTTTCATCTATAAAGCACTATACAAACACTCCTACTAAGGCATCATGTCGGTGTCAAATATATGTCTTGCCGTGTCGTGTCAGACATCAACACTCAAACACTAGAAGGCATATGTCCAAAACACTATCTGGTGTGTCCTATGTGCTTTTCTTTTTGTGACATAGTTAATATATAGTTTAGCTCATAATTATTTTAACATAACAAATAGTTGCTTAGCCGATTTAGAAGATTTCTCCGACAAAAATCAGAAGTAAAAAAAGTATTAATTTTTTTTAAAACAAAAAGTAGAAAATAAAGATATCAATTATCATGTTAATGTACAACTTTAAAGAGTTTAAATTGACCTGACCATGTCCTACTATTTTGAAAAATCACGTGTTGATGTGTTAGTGTTTTGCCCATGTCGCATGCTGTGTCCTTTCTTCTTAGGTTTCATACATAGTGGTCTTAAGCTAGACAAGTATGCAGTGTGATGGAAATAATACACAAGCTCTTGAAATTATGGTAAAAAACTTTAGTTTTGTCTTCATACTATAGGAGGAACACACAGACGATTGGAATTACAAAAGTGAATTCTGACCCGGTGCATGGCCATGTGTGGAATAGATGATGTTCTGAAGGTTTTTTACTTATACCGTGTTGTTGTACATTTGATTCTCATTTTTTCCTTTTTATTGCACAAGTAAACTATGGATTTTATTTCAACACTATCCTACCTCCCTTATTATATATATGGCTATTGATATTAGTGAACATGTGACCATGCTGTCACTAGAGTATGGTCAACTAGAAACTACTAATTATGACTCTGCATATTTCTAACTTTGTGATGCACCCAAATGATGACCTTATCAAATAGAAAGTTGTGAATGCATCAAACTAATTTTTTTAATGGTGTAAACATGGAAATAATTAGAAGATGATGTTAATAAGATTGTGGTAGAAATTGTTTCAGGCTCCATTTCTTCCAAAATACATATTCCACATTTTAGCATTTCGTAGTTTTTGGTAGTGTTCGGCATCAGAAATTGTCAGATCCTGCCAACATCAGATGGGATGCACCAGAGCTGTCTCCTTCTTTATTTGGCTCTCTGCAAAACTGACACTGATTTGTTTCAGGAATAATGAGGGGTTGGCGGCTGGCTGTCAGTTTGAATCTGATGGTCAATTAAGTTCTTGTGTTTGAAACGAAATAACTATAGATGACTTAGAAAAATATACACGTTTATTAAAATAAAATCTTGGCTAGGGGAAAAGACTTTGTTCTTCATACATTTTTCTTTTTGTCCGTGTATTGAATTATTCAATTTCCTTCTCTTAATTGAATGTTATTGGATTTATAGACAGGTGGAAGGGAGATAGACCACTTGATGGTGGGGGTTAATGGTGGGATATGTCTCTCTGTTTATAAGCTGGTTGACATCACATAGCGAACATGCACCAATCTGTTTTTGGAAATTGTTTCAGAAGGAATGTACCTACGGGAGCTTGTGCTCACTGTTACGTCTTGTCTGTTGAGCTACTTTTCAATTCCTAGGCTCCTGTTTGGCTTGAATGCTTACCACATTGCTAACACGTGTGAGCAGCGTCAAGGCGGGACGCCTTAATTTGTTCTTATGCGGGTGTGTTTGGTGCAACTTTACTCAGCTTAACTTCTGCAATTCTTTACCCAACTCACTTATTATGAATTTGGCATCTGCCATCATGTCGAGCCAAGAGTGGGTTTATTTGCCTTTAGTAAATATCTAGCTAGTTTTGTCCCGCCATGGTTATGTTAAAGCTTGAATCCTAACTAGGATGGAGCCAAGCAGCATACCTTGGCAAATAATTGGTCATAGTTGAGGGCCGAATGTTGACCAAATGTTGACTTTTCTTGGTGCCTTATCATTAGTTGGGTCTCCACTTGCCAAGCTGTCCAATTTGCAGAAGGGTTTTCTGGTACACCAAAGAAATTAGTCAATGAAAAATGTTTTCCTAGATGAAGGAAAACTAATTCAATCTGGAGGAAGTTGCATTTTCTATTTAGAGGTCGGAAAATATTTTCCATGACTGACATGAGGTATAAACCCACCACTTAGTTACTACCGACCTCTACTAAAACTATTATGTATTACCTGCCTATATTGGTACAAACAGACAACGAAACAGAAGTATGGATTAGTTGATAAGGACCTTATGGAGGACATAGTATTCATTGGTGAAAAGGAGATGAAATTATATCTATTGAAGTTGTCATGGCAGGCAACATGGTCAATTTTGTGAGTGTTTTGAGCCAGAAATAGGAATATAGAATAGCTTTAAGGTGCAATTTTAGGAGGATATGGGGAGATAGCATGATGCAATGCTTTTCCTTTGGAAACTCATTCAGCTCAGATTCCACTACTTTTATTTAATAGCTGAGAATTTCATGGTGGAGTTTTGCTTTTATCCCACCTTTGCTTTGTGGATGGTACGAGGTTGAAAGTTGAGCATCGGGTGTCCCATTGTGTCCAGTGGTATCCCAAGGAATGTCCGGTTCTGGTACTTAAAGCGTAGTAGGAGCATTTGTCGAGAAAATGATTGCCCATACCACATCCTTTGTGAAAAAGTATAGGAGAAATTTTTTATAGAAAGATATGGAAAAAACTTGTTACCTTTAGACCTTGATCGAAATGGAGTAAATTATTTTCTTGGCAGGAGGAGAGATTTTGCAACATTTAGAGCCACGTAGTCATTCCTACAGAGAATATGACCTCACTCACAATACAGAAATTTGGTTTTAGATTGGACGGCGAAATTGGGGTACCTAAAGGGTGAGAAGTTAACCTCATTCAAGGATAAGGTGGTTAGACAAGCTAGTTGTGATTTAGTTGATAGACCTTATATTATGTAGGATAAATAAATAAGATCTTTGAAGCATGAATAGTCCTCGTATAGTGGAGTGTAGGTCCGACGGTATTGGACTCTCGAAGGCATGTTTCTGACACGCCATGTAGCATGTCTTATATTTTTTAAAATTTGACAACTAAGCGACACTTTCTTGACACGCCTTGGACATGTGATGAAAAGCCAAGTTTCACGTCTTATATTTCTATATTCTTATTAATTTTATTGACATGTGAGGGACATGTCCTCAAGACGTTAAGAATACGAAAAGCTCCAATTTGTGAAATCTGAACTATAAAATTAGGTAACATGTTTAATTATTAAAAATTTTAAGTTTTAACGTTAGAAAAAATTCTACAAACTTCATTTCAAATTTATGGTATGTACATTATATGCATTTTTTAGTAGGCACTAATGTAAGTATTACAGTCCAAAGTTATATTGTAACAATTAAATTAATAACAAAAAAATTACTTTTCTCATTCAAAAGATTTTACTAGCAAACCTTTTAACGAAGGATATTGTCTTGGTAGATGTGTTTAATATGAGAAAGCCCATGAAACTAGAGTTGTGGATAGAATCTAGAAAGAAAAGGATTCAAAACTAGTCAATTAATTAACCTTGAGGGGTTGCTCAATTGGTGAGGCATTGGGTTTGCTCTCCAATAGTCACCTGTTCGAGTCCCCTCAGGGCCACTGAGGTGAGTATCCGACCCTAAACTTTAGGGTCTCGTGGGATTAGTCAAGGTGTGCGCATGCTGGTCTGGACTTCCACGATAAAAAAAAAAAAAACTATTCAATTAAGATTGAGTTCATAGAGGGCGTCGAAGTACTTGTAGAGAGGATTATAGAGACTGGAGGTCAGGAGATGCATTTAAGAGCAATTTTTTATTTTGGCAATTATTCACAAGGAAATGGAGATGGCCCTTATTGAGAGGGTAGAAGAAGATGGTCTATATAGCTGATTCCATGCAAGTACAGGGAAGGCCGTTTTGGGTTGAGCTATTGTGTGTATGCGTAATTGGATGGTTAAGATATCTAAAACATGTTTTGTAGTTGAGAATCCTATCAATTTAAAATATGAAGAGAGGTGACTCCTGACAATTTAGCTGGTAATATAATAAATCTTAAATAGTTAACATATTATATTTTTAATTATTTTGATTAATCATTGGGGATTCCTCATTATAGCATTTTCTCTAGTACTTTCTATCTACCTATTATCCAAAAATTTTGTAAGACCCACAACTTATGATCTAATAAGTAATAAAAGTTTGCCGAACATGCTCTGAGTTATATCTTGGCAATAGACGTGGTATGCTCATATTTGTCCACAGAATTATTCAAGCTAGCTTTCATGTGACATAATTTTTTTAAGTGACAAATTTGTTAAATCACGTGATCTAAAAACTTAAGCCATTAGAAAGGGCCAGATTATATCATTGAATTCCTGTACCGAGCATGCCCCCTCATGTGTAGCCGGGTTCATTTTCCTATGAAAGGCAAATATGTGCACAATTTCGACGGCAAGACTTGAACCTAGGACCTAGGACTTTTGCACACTCTGGTTCATGTTGAACCACTTGATCTAAAGTTTAAGTCTTTAGACATGGCTACATGGATATCATTTTCAAGTACGAAAAAACATATTTAATTTCAAAAGTACAAGGCGTCAAGGCCTTCCAGGGCTTAACTTAGAAGAAGGCCACAGTTTTGTGAAGTGACGGGCATATATAATTGGGACTATAGTTCTCCATACTTGCAGAAATGTAATATCAGAAGTTTTCAGTACAGCAAATATTTGTTGAATTACCATCATTTTGGACAAGTTTATCCCCCTCTTTCTCTATCCTAAACTCGTAGGTTCTGCTGCAATGTTCTAAGGTGGATTCTGTTTTACATTGACCATTATACATGGGATTCCATTTCCTTTAAATCTTGTCCTTATTCTGTATAATACTTGTCATGAAGAGTGACTCTCTTCCTCCTCGCAGAGAAAGCGTAAACTCCAGCGGTTTGTTAAAGATAAGCTGGGAGCTCCTGGATTTTCCATGCCTAACCAACAAAATGGCACAAAACTGAGCAGGGGCCAGCTGTCCCATGTCTCTTCTATTTCATGCTTGCTCAATTCAGTCAACACTGCGGAATGTTTTGAGCATAAAATTCTGTCTGACTCTCGTAGTTCGAGTAGTTTATTGACATTTGAGGATACTTTACCAGAGAAACAATTGTCTCGAGAATCCTTCTTCCTGGATGATGTATTAGATAGGTGTCTCCCCAGCAAAGATATATCTCAGATAGTAGATTCTGACGAATCCGCAAATTGTTTGATCTCTTTGAGTCCGGAAAACCTGACTGTTAATGAGGCACCATCTCTGGATCTTAATGACGCAATTCGCTATTTGAATTCATCAACACTTCATGGAGCAAAGAGGAACCATCTTCACCCACCTCGCAAATCTATCAGGTTGCTGAATTTCATCGGTGATCATCTTGAGAATAAGGTTGTCCCTGTTGGGCCGCGGTTCCAGGCTGATGTTCCTGAGTGGAATGGTCCTGTCATAATTAATGATTCTTCGGAGAATTCCCGGTGGTTGGGCTCTAGAGTTTGGCCAATTGAAATTGGAAATGCAAAAAGCACCGGAAGAAAAGTGGGAAAAGGAAGACCAAACTCCTGCCGCTGTGTCTCTCCTGGATCTGTTGATTGCATTAGAAACCACATTCTGGAGAAAGGATTAATTTTGCAATGTGATCTTGGACCTGCTTTTTTTAGTTGGAACTTCAATGAGATGGGAGAACAAGTTTCAAAATCATGGACTTTGAAGGAGCAGAAAATGTTTGAGTCGTCGTTAAAAATGAAACCACTCTTGAATAGGAATAACTTTATAAAGCGTGCTTTGATGCGTTTCCCAGAAAAAAGTAGTAAAGAGATTGTCCACTATTACTTCAATGTTTTTATTCCGCAGCACATGAGCCAGCAGAGAAGGTTGTCCATGAAACAAGTTGACACTGATAATGAGGAGGAGGATGATGATTTTAATGAAATAGGTGTGCAGAGATGTGAAGGAAGCAATGCCATCATCAGCAATTCTAAAGTTGTAAAGACTCGATATTTACGCGGAGGTTGTTGACAACATTGAACACCATCCAATTGGAAGGTTCATCATGTAGTCTTGTATCTTTATTCCTTTATGTTTTACTCCTAGGCATACCTGAGGTTTTTCTTTTTTGCGTTTCAAAGAATACACATCAACATTCTCAGCCCTTAGATTTTGTTCATCCCCACAATGTTGATGCTTCTCTCTCCAATTTTCTGTTGAACATTCTGTTAGTTGCGGCTTTTAATCGTGTCCTGAAAGCCGTGGAGAGAGTGCTTTAGTGACGAACTCATTTCCAACTTCTCATTGTTGCTGAAGCAAAACCCTTTTTTTTTTTCATTACAGTTTGGTGCACTGACCCTGTTAGTAACAATGATTAATGAAGTTGTCCTTGTTCATGTTGTTTGCAAGTTGGGTGTGGATTTTTCCTTACCTTTGCCAGTTGCAATTTCTTTTCAGTAAGCTTTTATATGAATCTGAAAATTTATTTTGTATTAGTAGGTTTTCCTTTACGATTTGGTCTCCAACAACTGTTTGATTTTAGATTGATATTGTGGAGAGAATTTTTATTGACCTGAATTAAGATTAGAAGAATTATGGCACGTTAAGACTTGGTGTTTCATTTTAAAATGTCGACATTTTCAAAAAGAGTAGTCCAAGTTCTTTTAAGTTCATCTATATTTTCATCTTTATTTGATGTGAGATTTATCCCTTAACACGCCTTTATAAGATGCTGGCTCGTTTGAATAGATGAATTTTGAAATTTTTGTGCTCATTTTGTAGTCTTAATCGAAATGAATTATTCGTTTGAATTTAATGGACATTGATATCATATTAAGACGTGATTTCATTCTAGAATGTCAACATTTTTTAAGAGTAACTTATAAGTTGGTCTACGTTTTCATGTTTATTAAATGTGAGCTTATCCATTAGCATGCCACTACATTGATTTTTCATTTGTTTTATTGGTTCTCAGAGTGGAGAAAGCCCTTGTTTGAATTTAATTATTTTCAAAATACATTTTTATCTCTTTCTTTTTTCAACTACACATTTTTCACTAAAATAATATTACAAGAAAACTCAAAATTTTTCCTTATTTTTTAATCACTTATTCTTTAACAATTTATTATTCAAAAATGTTTTCTTTGTCAAATAATGGGGCTCGAGGGCTTACTATGAGAGTGAAAAAAGAATTAGACATGGAGGGAGGGAGGGAGGGGGGGAGAGAGAGTTTATATTCTAGTGACTCACTAAATCTAACATAGTGTCTACGTTTAGACATTTTTTTTTATTTATTTTTTGGGACGTTAGCTTGATGGAGTCTAGCCCTTCTTTGATCCTCATTATATTTAAAAGGGTAAATAGCACAAAATATCTTTACCTTTCAATGTCATTGTGTAAAACGTCTATATCTTTCTTTTTTGACATTTTCACCCCTACCTTCCACCTATGTCATTGTGCAAAACGTCTATATCTTTTTTTTTTTGGCATTTTCACCCCTACCTTCCACCTTTCATTGCTAAAAATGTCATTTTAAACAATTTTTCCAATAAAATGACAATTTTACCTTTCTATTCAAATGAACAAAAAGAAAAGAAAAAAAAAAAAATAATAAACAATTAATTGCAATCATAGTCTTAAAATTTCAAAATATTATAGATAAGTCCTAAATTCTCCACTACCACCACTTTCACAACTCCACCAAGTCGTCATCTATAGATCCATATAACACCACCTTCTGGCCACCACGCTCGCCGGACTCCACCACCACTAGTCTTGCTTTACTCTCCCTAATACCCTTTCCCATAGTATTGATCACAAAATCTGTCGAAAACAGCCACATTTACAGCTTAAAATACCAAACTGTTGTATACAACCCTTCACGGCAACCCCACTTTCAGCGCAACCCACGGTCGCGCACCACGACCGATAGTTACCCCTCACCTCGATGAACCTATACATGGCCTCACATCAATCAAACTTGCCTCATATCATTCTACTGTAATCTAAACATTCGACAGTGGTGACATCCATTTTGCCAAACTCTTCTCCTTCAATTCCTGCATGCCCCAACACTAAATTCTCGAATTGACATTAATCGAACCATCAACAAACCCAAACGACAATGTGTATGAATCTAATCGAANTATTTTTTAATCACTTATTCTTTAACAATTTATTATTCAAAAATGTTTTCTTTGTCAAATAATGGGGCTCGAGGGCTTACTATGAGAGTGAAAAAAGAATTAGACATGGAGGGAGGGGGGGGGAGGGAGAGTTTATATTCTAGTGACTCACTAAATCTAACATAGTGTCTACGTTTAGACATTTTTTTTAATTTATTTTTTGGGACGTTAGCTTGATGGAGTCTAGCCCTTCTTTGATCCTCATTATATTTAAAAGGGTAAATAGTACAAAATATCTTTACCTTTCAATGTCATTGTGCAAAACATCTATATCTTTCTTTTTTGGCATTTTCACCCCTACCTTCCACCTTTCATTGCTAAAAATGTCATTTTTAACAATTTTTCCAATAAAATGACAATTTTACCTTTCTATTCAAATGAACAAAAAGAAAAGAAAAGAAAAAATAAACAATTAATTGCAATCATAGTTTTAAAATTTCAAAATATTATAGATAAGTCCTAAATTCTCCACTACCGCCACTTTCACAACTCCACCAAGTCGTCATCTATAGATCCATATAACACCACCTTCTGGCCATCACGCTCGCCGGACTCCACCACCACTAGCCTTGCTTTACTCTCCCTAATATCATTTCCCATAGTATTGATCACAAAATCTGTCGAAAACAGCCACATTTACAGCTTAAAATACCAAATTGTTGTATACAACCCTTCACGGCAACCCCACTTTCAGCGCCACCCACGGTCGCGCACCACGACCGACAGTTACCCCTCACCTCGATGAACCTATACATGGCCTCACATCAATCAAACTTGCCTCATATCATTCTACTGTAATCTAAACATTCGACAGTGGTGACATCCATTTTGCCAAACTCTTCTCCTTCAATTCCTGCATGCCCCAACACTAAATTCTCGAATTGACATTAATCGAACCATCAACAAACCCAAACGACAATGTGTATGAATCTAATCGAANTTTAAATTGATTTTCACGATATATCTTCCGATTAGAGTGTCGGGATGAAAGCCTCTAATTGTGTTATAAAAATGAATAATTGATATGATTGATCCAATCCAATTGAGGGAATTCCGACGCTTCACTGCTTCGAATTATTGATTTTAATTTCACCTTTCAACATTAAATTTTATTACAAATTTGAGAGAACAATTCAGTCTTTTTGATCATTTAAATATTCTTCAATCTCCCTATGGATATGACACCCCAAAGTTGTGCTACAACTACTGTGTTATTCTTTGGGCGTAATTAGGAAGCTGATTATTCCTAGCACTGTAGTTGGCCCGATTAAAGAAACAATAGTGATATAATGTTGAACCTAGAAATCATATCCGCGAACTTGGCGAGTTATTAGTGAAGCGTAAAGCAAGCCACGAGAGGAATGAAAGCACTGAAGGCTCACCTAAAACTTGCGAACCTATCCCCAATCCATGCTAATTACAAGATGCCAATAAAAGACACGTGGATTAATGAATAAAGCATGACTCTTAATCGAAGCAGTTACTAAGTGCCCAATAACGAGCCGCCATTTTTCATTCCCTCAAAATGACCTAATTATCCCAAAACTTAGAGGGAGATCTACAAATACCCATCATTTAAAGAAAAACACATGTAATTCAAATATCTCATTTAGTAGCCATTTCATTTCCAGCTCCAATTTGAACAACATACTAGTGAGATTTGAAGGTAAAAGTCCGTCTAGGTGAGAGAATTTGTTGATATGATTTTTATGGGTAAATAGCACAAAACGTCCATACCTTTCAATGTCATTGTGCAAAACATCCATACCTTTCATTTTTTGGCATTTTCACCCTACCTTCCACCTTTCATTTTCAACCATTTTTCCAATAAAATAACGATTTTACCCTTCTATTCAAATGACATAAAAGAAAAGAAAAGAAAAAACAAACAAATAATTGTAATTATAGTCCTAAATTGTTCAAAATATTACAGATAAGTCTTAAATTCTCCACCACCACTTTGTCAACCCCACCAAGCTGCCACATATAGATCCACATAGCACCATCTTCTGGCCACCACGCCCGTCGGACTCCACCATCACTAGCCTCGCTTTACTCTTCCCAACACCCTCTCTCATAGTATTGGTCACAAAATATGTCGAAAACACATTTGTAACCTGAAATACCAAACTGCCATATACAACCTTCATGGCAACCCCACTTTCGGTGCCACCCACGATCGTGCACCACCACTGACGGTTACCCCTTGCCTAGACGAACGTATACATGGCCTTACATCAATCAAATGTGCCTCAAATCATTCTACTATAATCTAGACATTCGGCAGTGGTGACATCCATTTTGCCAAACTCTTCTCCTTCAATTCATGCATGCCACAACACTAAATTCTCGAATTGACATCAATCGAACCATCAACAAACCCAAACGACAATGTGTATGAATCTAATCGAACCAATTATCCTTCCAACCATTTCAATTTCTGATATGAAACTCTCCACGGGAGCGATGCACGGAGAGAGTTGTCTAACCAAAATTGGTGGGTTCTAAGTGCTTCAATCTTCAAATTCTTGTGGGGGAGGATGATGGGGGGGTGAAGCGAGGTTGGTCGTGGTGGAGTCCGTGGACGTGATGGTCTAAAAGTACTGCTATGTGGATCTATAGGTGGCTTCTTGGTAGGTTGTGAAAGTGGTAGTGGTAGAGAATTTATAATTTCTTTGTAATTTTTTAAAAATTTAAGGACTATAGTTGCGGTTGATTATTCATCTTTTTCTTTTTGTTTTATTTGAATAGGAGGGTAAAATTGTCTTTTATTGAAAAAATAATTGAAAATGACATTTTGCGCAATGAAATGTAGAAGGTACGGGTGAAAATTTCAAAAAATAAAAAGTAAGGACGTTTTGCACAATGACATTGAAAAGTAGGGATGTTCTGTTTTATTTACCCTATTTAAAATACATTTTTCTTCCCCTTTTTTTTAACCATACATTCCTTGAAGAAATATTGTGATACCTAACTCATGAAGGTATATAATCAGCATTTAGCTTCACGAAAGACTCATAATTAAAATATTGATTCAAATAAAATTAATTCTTTTACGTCTTGTGTTGTTAGTATTTTACGTCTATGTGAATTTT